GATAAATATGCAGGTATCCTCGTAAAGGGGGCACCACCCACATATTGATATTGACCGAAAAAATATCATCATGGGGGGGGGGTTGGTAAAACTTGTTTACCCTGGGAAAGCAGGCAAGGCAAGGCAAGGTAAGAGAGAGAGTGAAACACAAATAGATAAACAAATAAATAAATAACACGAAAGGAAGCCAACTTGGGCGTCACACCCTAAGGTGCAGCCAGCTTTAAGATGTACTCCATGAAAGCAAATAATGTAATGTAATGAGAGTAATGAGAGTAATGATAGTAATGAGAGAGAGAGCCAGGTAATAGTTGTGCCAAGTGATTCCCCCTAATTCATTATATTTCTTTTCGCTTAAAGTTTGATTGCTTTTTCGTTTCCGTTTCCGTTTTTACAACACGCACAGAACACTTTAAGCCAGAGTTTTACCTCTCTTACCCTTGGACGCCTTAATGGCGCCCACTTGTCGTGTTTTATATGCCGATTTCATTTTTATTTGACTCGCCAAAAAAAAAAAAAAAAAAACGCCAGGGCCAAGTGCATGGTATCCCGGCCACATTGGTAAACTTTTCATTTCGCCACGCACAAGGCCCACAAAACATGCTGGCTTCTCCGCCTTTTTTGCACCTCTTCCTCGTCCTTTTCGTCCTTGTCCGGGCCCACTTTCAAATAATCATAAAAGAACGGCTTTGGAAAATTTATTAAGAAACTTGGGCACTAAAAATAGTTGCTAACATCCTCGAAGGGGGGCAGGGTTTGGTCAGTAGCGTTTAAAATATGTGGAAATGTGCTCCAAGCTGAAGAGCCATATTATCCTGTGTATGTATAATAACAATTAAATTTAATTAAAAACAAAAATAGTAATAATAATAATTAGGAAAGGATGCTGGGAGTTGGCAAATCAAAAACTCAACTCAATGAAGAGTTTCCAAAAATAATTAAAATTTAATTAAATTAAAAGGTTTTTAAGATATCACCAGCTTAAATTTCAATTCCTTTTGCAAATTCAAATCGATAATTAAGGAAAATCTAGTGGTCTGTGCAATTTTCATGTCCCTGGAACTTTTTTTCTTGACCAAGGCACGTTCATTAACCCCTTTTCCTTTTTTTTTTTTTGCCTATTTCCTATTTGGGTTCGGCTCCAGTGTCCTGTGAAATCCTTTTAATGGCATAAACGGGTTAAGCATTTTCGGTGACGTAAATATGAACAGCACACTGTGTGTGTGTGTGTGTGTGTGTGTGTGTCTGTGTCGGACAATGTCTGGTTTATCCGTTTCTGTATAAGCTTTTCTTTCTCTGCTTTTAGCCAGGAGAGTTCCGTCTCTGGAGCTTTAAGGCCTGAATTTCAGTTATGGCCAGGACGTGAGCACACACTGTCTGTGTGTACATGTGTGTGTGTGGGTGTGTGTGTGTGGCCAATAGCCACACTCCTTGGCCAACTCTGCATGTGTGCATTGGGCATTTTTCAAAATGGCAAACAAAGCGCGCGTGACAGGAAAAAAAAACGGCCAGCAAATCGTTCACTCAGCCTCAGAAAAAAGCCCCAAAATCCATTTTCCTCCCTCAATCCACCCACACACATATGCCCAAAGTGTCGGTGCAGGTTTTCTTTTGTTTCAGTGTATTCGGGTGTGTGTGTGTGTGTATGGTTGACAGTTAAGCATTTGCTTAATTTAATTTTGCCCAGCTGAACGGCATCTGCTCATTCAGTTGTATATATATTTTCTTGCCTGCTTTTCCCCCTTTTTGGAAAACTCTGGCTTTAAGCCTGGACCAAGCAGCGTGTTTGTTTTTCTTAAAATTTCCAATTAATCAACTTAAAGTGTCCAAGCAGAAGCTCTTTGGGGCTGAGCTCTTTAGCTCTTTAAGTAAGAATGCCTACACATTCAGCAGACACTACCAGCAACTTGAGCTGGGGTACACTGAGCAGAAAAAGGGGGTTTCAATTGAGTTTGAGTGGAGTTTATTGATAGATAGAATTATGGTATTTTAATAGAAGGTTTATTTATTGAATTTAGCTAGGGAAATTAATTAATTAATTCTAAAAACTATCAAAAATAATAAGATGAGTAACAAGCATTCATTTAAATTGCTTTGAGTTAGCCAAGGAAATTGAAGCATTTCACTGTCCAAAATTGAAGAGTTTTTGAATCTAAAAATATATATATAGACTGAGAATGCAAGAATGTCTTCAGCCAGATAGATCTAGAATGCTAAAGAAAATGTGTATACACACAAACACTATACAAGTTAGAGAGAAGCTAGCTCTATAGAGTTCTGTTTATCTTTCTCTGGCTTTATATTATATTTTAAAAGGGAGCTTGGAGTATTACGAAATTGTATGCAGCCAGACAGATCTAGAATGCTTGGTAATACGATTGGGAATATGTATGCTCAACAGCGCTTTTTCTCTATCTCAATCTAAATATCTTTCAATAATACTTGAAAATAGAGCTTAGAGTTAAAGTTTGAACACTAAAAGGCAGATTGGCGTTATGTATCTTAGTCCTAACATTGTCTTATATTTATTTTTCCTACATAAGCTCTTATATTTCCCCAATTTCCTTGCATTATCTACTAATTTCCTTGACTATTTGAGAGGTTTTTCCCTCAGTGTAGCTATTATTATCTGCCCACTTGGCGCATTTTTCAGATGAACGGAGACGTTCTCATATGCTGGGCTCTACACACACTCACACACACACACATCAGGGGGGGTCCCTCCCCCAACCCTCTATCCATATACGTTGAAGGTGACAATTGTTCATTTGTTTGGTCCTTTGTTTGTCCCCAGCAGCTGACAGCTCGAATGCTTTGTGAGCAAGTGGAGGGGAAATTAAGAGACAGGGAGATATGGCAGGACACAGACAGACAGAGAAAGGATAACCAGAGAGAGAGAGAGAGAGAGAGAGAGAGTACTATGTGCAGCTAATGGGTCCTTTTCTCTTTTTTCAATTAACATTCTTTCGATGCGATTGCAAAGCTGCTTTGTGGGTTTCATCTAGCTCAAAGCCTTTGAAAAGGTGCTAAAGTTCATTATTAGCAAATTACTCAAAAGTACTTGTTAATTTGTCAAGTGAATCTTTTTGACTTATAACTTTAACAATTGATAAATTGAAATTAAGTTGCTCTGAGCACTTCCGTGCATTTCGAATTTCAATTCCATTGAGTTTGGGGCATCGAAATCCTTGCAATTTTTGTGATTTGCAATTGAGTTCCGCTCCCAAGGATGCCCGGGCACTTTGGCACTGTGGTCAACACAATCAGGATGTAGTCATCGCCAGCTGGCTTACCTCCTTCGCCTTCGGTTTTTTCCCTTTCCGCCTTCATTGGGTTTTTCCGGATTTTACTTGAGTTTGCTTGAGCCTTGGACTTTCCCCCACCCGCTGACATAACTCCAAAGGCACTTGCTGACACTCATTGAAAACACAAACTGTATATTATGCCACTGCCATAGTTCTCCTTCTCCTGCTCCTTCAATATCCTTTTCGTCCTTTTTCCTTCTTTATTCCGCCTCTGGCACTTGTTATAAATCACAAAACAAGTAAAAAAAAGAAAAAAACCTAAAATGATCTAACAAAATGCTACTCGAGCATCGGAAAAACTCAAAGACTGGAAACATTCGCTCCTGGTAAGGTCGGGGGCGTGGCCGGCAAAGGTGAGGCGGTTGTCCTTCGTCCTTCGTCCATCGTCCCTTTTTTTGTCCAAAGTGTGCAGCATTGCAGAAAATATTTCAAACCAAAATGCTGAGGCTGAGTTTCCCCTGGAACAAACCCGGGCATCCCTTGTTGCCAGACTTTCACCTTTTTTCTGGTCATTTTGGCAGTTTGTAATGCGGTCAGGATATGTTCGGCAGTTCTCATTCACTCAACTCATTCTCTCTGTTTACAAGCGAGCGGAAGGATACCACAACAAGGTGACTTTTCAATACTCTTTACTAAAGTCTATGCTAGATTGGGTCGCCTGGAGAGGTTTTGCTTAGTATTTTATAAGTGTTTGGGGAGTATATGTACCTAAAATTATTATTTATTTTTGATTTTATTAACTAGAAACCTCCTAAAACAAGCTAGTGCCAAAATAAATCGCAAGGCGTTACCTATCTTATTGCACAGGTTTGTTTTTCCCTGAAACCTAAGCACATTTTCCTGTTGCCTACATTGTTCTCTTTTTATTTTAAATGTCTCAAAATGAAGTTGACCGATTTTATGGCTATGGTAAGCACCTTCTCCCTGAATGCAAGCCACGTTTATAGGGCATAACAATGACCTCATTTTTGTGTGCTGCATTTTCTGCCGAGTGCTGAGCTCGCCCCCCAAAACTTTCTCATTTCCCAGCCGGGGAAAAAGTGCAGCAACAAAGTTAAAGCTCTCTCTCTCTTTTTCCTATTGACAACTGTGCTGCTTTTGTGCCAAAAGAAGATTGTCCGCGTGGAGGAGAGATACACACAACCCACACACACCCATCTCTGAAATACAAACCCAAAGTGAGCAGCAGCCAAAATGCCGCGGGCTCTTTGCGCGGCTGCATCGCTGGTAACAGTGACTGCAAAAAAAAACATTCCACTGCGCCAAGCAAACAGCCGCCGGCTGAACTGTGCCCAGTTTTGTGGGGTTGTGGTTATAAAGGCCAGAGAAGGGCATTTAAAACAAATAAAATCAAATAAAACGCTTATTGCACTGAGAGTGCGAAGAGGTCGGAGAGGTTGCAGGGGCATAAAATACCAAATAATGTGTTCATCATCGGTTAAATGAGACTTTAACTAAAGGTTATAGATTTATTTTATATGGAAAAATAACTATTAGTAAGCCTTGCTTAAACCTTCAAACTTCTTCCCTCCATAGGGAATACCTTATCCACATACCTTCAGTCGTAAATTCGTCTCGAAGCGATCGTTGTAAATCAATCAGAATAAAAAAATTTTCATAATTTTTTCAGTACGTTAAAAAAGGAACAAATTTTCCACACACACTCACACACGCACACACACACACACACAATCGTTGAAAAGTAACAAATTTACAAAAATTACAAATTCCTATATATACATTTCTTAATACCCTTTCGATCCAAAGTCGCCATGAATAATCAATCCAAATTCAAGACAATCGAGAATGCTGTACGCATCGGTGGCAAGGGTTCAATGCGTCGGAAATATAAGCGGGTTCCTGCTTCTGCTCCCATGGAGGAGAAACGCCTTCAGACCACATTAAATAAGCTTTCACTCTCACCAATGAATGGCATTGAGAAGTTAACGTTGCAAATGGAAGATCAATCCGAACTGGTCATAACCATGCCCCAAGTGCAGGGCTCAACGGGTAGTAATCTCCTTGTGGTCACCGGAACACCAACTCATGTGGCTCCACCCGTTGAAGAGGTGGAATCGGAGGAGCCACCGTTGCTGTGTCCATCGCCACCGCCATCACCACCACCGGTTCCATCTCCATCTTCATCATTTTCCAATATTAAGTCCACCAAGAAGTCCAAGAAGCCAAGGAATCGCCTTCGATTGCGGAATAAACACTTCCGGGAAATGCTCCCTGAAGGTGATGGTGATGGTGATGGTGATGTTGGCGAGGACAGTGATCTGGGTTCAGCGGATGATTTGTTGTTTGGTCCCGATTACTTGAGTCAACTCCCTGATGGTGAAAGTGACGATGATTCTGAGAAGACTAAAGTACCATCCGATGGCTCTGAGATGGATCAAACCATTGTGGGTGACGGTAGTCTCCTTGAATTACATTTCGGTGATGGCGATGAGACCGATGACGGAAGTTGGGAAACTCAGGATGATGGGGAGGAGGATGAGGAGAGCGATAAGAGCGACGAAGATGTCAATAGGATTCTGGACAATCGTGATGAATACGATGAAAGCGACAATGAGGATTTCCACATGACAATTGAGGATGTAATGGCATGGCTGGAGGATAGCTAAATACTTTATAAAACCAAAATCTCACAAATTAACTGAATTATGTTTAAAAAAAAAGAAAAAATAATTTTCATATTATTTCAACATATTTTTACGCCAAATTATTGAGTAAATTGAGAAGGACACTTACAAAATAAATTACAAAAGGGTAGCTACTGGACAAAAACTACGCTTATTTTCTCTTCTAAGAAAATCTCTTAATAAAACAATAAGCTGCATAACGCCATGCTATATATTTCTATTTAAAACACCGCCTGCGGTCTTCCCAACTTCCTCACTTTTTTTTTGGGGGGTGCACATTAAGGACGAAATTCATACAAAATTAATTTAACAAGCGTTTAAAAGGAAGTTCCCGCTGCTGAGATATCCGAATTTTTGGGAACTAACGTTCCGTGGCCATGGGAGGGCGGCGGAAAAACTAATCTGGGCCTCGAAAATTGTACGAAATTAATCTGCACATAAATTAAGCATTAAAATTTAATATATTTGTTTATGGGGCCTCAAAGTGCGAGCGAGCACCAAAAGAGGGGGTGGCAACGGTGGGCGGTGGGGCGGTGCTTGAGGTGGGCGTGCCGGAAGTGCGGAATATCTGGAACGTAGCATGTGCACATGCCATAGGTGTGTGTGTGTGTGGGTGTGTGTGTGTGAGCTTTTAGTGGTAATAAATAAATAGCAAAAAGGTAATAAAACAGATAGCAAAAAGGAGGAAAACAAAAACAAAAATGGTACGAAGATACAAGATAACTCGACCAAGGAATATCCAGTGCTTAATGTTTGGCCTACTTTGAAATTTATTTTTAAATTTATTGTTTATCATTTTCTGGAGATTAATTTTTGTTTAAAGGATTTGCCAGTTGGTCAAAGGAAAAGTGTGGAAAATCCTTTACCAGAAATCTGGCATTCCATTTTTGCCTTATTTTTACTGGGTATAAGCAAAAGCACAGCTGGAGAAAAAGAGTATTGCCCAGCAGTGTTGAACAATTGTCAGTTTTATAGATAGAAATTTGACTTGTTTTTAACACTAGTTGTAGTTTTACAACACTTTTTCAAGTATACTTGTACTTACTTAATGAAAGAAATGGAATTCTGCACAGAACAGTTCCTGGAATGAACAGAAATATTTAGATTAAGTAAATTATTTTAAAAATTCCCATCTTAAACTGATTTATTTGCAACTAAAATATATTTTTATACAAATATTTTTAGCCAAACAAAAATTATTTACAAACCCTTACTGAATTTCAATTTATTGTATATTCATCTTAATTTTTGGCTCTTTTCTTGCTGCCTTTTTGGCAGCACTGACTCCTGTGAAAGGATACGGTGCTGGTCTGCGGGAAATGAAACCTGCCAACTGGTCGACCATTATCGTATTAGCACATGCCACCAGTGATTATTATGAGGTGACTCCCCCCGACCCGATATGCCGTCTGTGCTCCTTTGTTCTTTGTCTATGCATGCGTGTATAATTAATTTTGCTCACACACAGACACAGAGAGTCCCACCATGATCAGAGGACCCCTTGCCTGGTCCTGTCTGTAAAGGGAAACAATAGATGGGTCTGGGTCTTCTCAGAGGAGTAGGTCCTGGTGGCAGGATGATGGAAAAATACCAAAAGGAGTTTCAGTTACCAAATTGGGTTGCAACAATGCCCAATCTAATTGGCCATAGTTGGGTCTTCTTGATCTGCATACATTTTTCCCTCAACCACAACCAAGAACCTCATTGGGACACATCCTTCGAAATAAAGAAGCAGCTTTAAGCAACGTTTTGATGAACTCGCAACGAATAAACAGAATTGTCATTTCAATTTTGATTACTATTGTCGAACATCATCTACAATAATTCATAAAAGAATGGGCTGCGGTGCCTCAAGATGGATGAAGATGAATGTTCCCATAAGAACATCTCATTAGGCTGAGTGAAAAATAGTCTTCAGTGTCTCTACTACTACTAGGGATCCGATTCGAGGTCGCAATTTGCTTTGTGCCGTTTTGTCGCCATTTTCTGTTTGGCTTCTAATGAAATACGCATTATTTGGCAACCGTCTGGCAGTTGAATTTAATATCTTACATCTAGAGGGATACCTCCTTGGCCCGTATCGTGTCTTACTTGTGGTTGCTTCCACAAACGATGCCCATTCATTTTCAGTCACATGTGTTTGCCATTCTGGATCACGATTCCGGGGACATTGTTCTGCGGTCGCAGGACCTGTCCTGTGCTGTCCTGTCCTGTCCTGTCCTTCAGCCTCAAGTCGCTCAACTTAAGTGTTTATTAATATCGACTCGTGCGAACCCGGACATGTGTGTGTGTTGGCCCCACCAAATTGACTTTGCCGTTACTGATAAGGAGGTCCCAGGACACACACAGCCTGTAGTTATTGTAACAAGCCATTTGTGATTGTTATCCGAGTAACGAAGACAACAGCTGGTCACACTACATGAACGTATCCCTCCTGGCTACCCATTGAAATGGTTTCTAAAGAAAAACCCATGGCTTTTCACATTAAATCGATTCAGTTCAATGGAGTTGGAGTCGTAGTTGGAGTCCTGTTGGTGAACTTATTGCCAACTGTATTCAAGTGCCAGGGACGGGACTCTTGTGAAATGGCAATTACGAGCTCTTTCCGGTCACGGGGTCAGCAATCGGCGAGGACTCTTCAATTATGGTAATCAATTTTAAGGGTTCTTTAATCAATGTGTTTTTCTTCTGGAATCTCTAGGAGTACAAGTTCCTTCTTGCAGCTTTCTGCATTGCTAGTTCGTGTCCTTGCACAAAAAGGAAACGAAATTCTTTTGTTCAACTTCCCCTTCGAGGCAACCTGGCCCAAAAAATTGCTGCAGGATGCTTTCAGGCCTTTGGCAAGCCTCCACACAAATACACACACGTTCACGGTTCCTTTTCGGTAATGTCTTTACTTTTTGGAAATTGCTTTGCTATTAAAACAAAATAAACGATGCGCCGCGCAACTTATAAATTTTGTTTGAAAATCAAGTGAAATAAATGCACTGACAGGGCAAAAAAAAGGAAAGGAAATCTGGAAAAACAGTGGCGAAATCAAAGAAGGAAGCGAGGCGAAAACAAAAGCCCAAGACAAATACACCAAAAATATATATATAGTATCCTGAAAAAGGACTAGGGTTGGGGCAATAAATTTAACTTTTAGCCGGTTGGACCATAAATAGCAATGCAATGGAGAAAAAAAGGATCCCTGGCTCCAGACTCCATTTTTAAGGGCCGCTTTTCGGCGGTTGCGACTTTTCACATTTTATGGCCAAAAGTCCAGTGGTCTGGGAAAACCTACACACACTCTTAAATGATGGCCAATTGTCTTGCTTGGTGTCAGCTAATAACTGAGAGAGCAGTTTCAAACAACCCATATATCAGCAGGCTTTTCCATTTGATTGCTTGAGGAAAATTGAGGGGCACACACAAACATAGTGCTTGGCATTTGCTTTCTGAATTGAAAATGTGTCAAAGGTACCACCCCTCATTCCCTCCTCTCCCACCACCTTGCAGCATTTTTCATTTTAATTTCCACATTAATTTTCAATTCAATTTCGCCGCTCATTGTCATCGATTGAAGGCAACAGCAGCAGCTTGCCCCGCCACCAAACTTGTCAGTGATGAATGCCTTGGCCCGGGGAAAAAAGTTTCTCAATTATATCTGCTTCCCAATCTGATTTTTATTTATTGCATATTTCCCCCCCCCCATGTTTTTCCCCACACAGCTTTTAAGGCTGGCCTTTTAATAACTGAAAAAACTCGGATAATTTTGCCAGAAACTTTTTTTGCACAGGCAAAAGCTAATTAGGGACGAGGGCGAGGACATTTCTCGTCCTTTTGATTTGTGCAAGTTTTTTTTTTAATAATTTATTAAGCCAAACCTGTCCTTGATGATACAGGACAGGCATCTCTCCAAAAGGTCAATAATGCTTGAAATTTTTTGTTAATTTTCGTATTTACCCGCGATTCTTCTTGCTTTCTAATCAGACTTGCAACAAATAAAGTTGCTGGTTTTCTTTTTTCTTTTTCGATTTAGAAGAAAATAAAGTTTCTAAAGATATATACAATATATATATACTATATATATACTACATATATTTTCACCTATATAGTAGCCTGACCTCCAGAGAGAGAAAGAACCAAATTGATAGTCGACTTTTGCCTTGCACTCACAATGGCGGCAAAAGTTTTCATTATGCATGTGCGCCGGAAAACTTGTGCAAACAAAAGAGCGCTAGAGTGGGGGGAGGGAGCGGGGCGGGGTCCAGAAGTTTTCCAGGCAAAGCTTTGGCATAATTAAAATGTTTATGCGTTTAATTGCAAATGAATTTGGGGCGAGAGCTGCTACACACACACACACGCAATGACAATTGGTGTATCAAATTTCCCCCACTTGCCAGGATGCGATTTCCCTTTTTCCGTATTAGGAAAAGGATAATTGGTTTTGGGGCTCCGCTCAAACGGAAAATTGTCTTTAAAATTTAATCAAACCGCATCCAAAAGAGACCCCCAAGTAAAGACCAAGGCGTGTGTCAATTTATGCCTCGTCGCCGCTACTTATGACTGTGCCACACAAGCACCTCCTGAACCACAACGAGCAATGAGGTCCTGGAAGGGACAACTTAGTTAAGTGGCTTGCCACAGAACTTGGCCTGGCCGAGACATTAAACAGCTTGATTACCTGCAAATTTCCCAAATCAAATGCGAGGTAAGACCACACACAGTCTGTTTAAGGGCCAAGAGACATGTCAGCATCAGTCTTTGGTAACAGTTGGATCGAAAAAGAGATATATATCTTATAAAAATGTATATGCTCTATATAATTGTTAGATAATCCAAGGGGAGGACAGCAATTTATAGGAGTTGAAATGGAAATTGTGCAGTTAAAACCAGCTAGAAACTGGAGTAGATTAACGTGCCTTCCACTTGCTTAGCTGACATGGGCACATTGGGGTGTATAAAGCTCAGCTTGCTTTAAGCAAATCTCTGCTCAGATGTTTATATCTATGATTTTTTTTTTTTGCGAGTTGGTAACCAATAATTAATTCAGCAGCAGCAGCAGCGGCAAAATCTAATTTTTTGCCTAGACCTGAGGACAACTCCCTTTTCCCAGGAGGAGTCGCTTCTGCTCACTTACTTGCTGCTTTACATTTGAATAGCTCGGCAAAGTCTCCAATCAGTCTTGCCTTGAGACATTCTTCTAGTTCATTTAATGCAATTTGCTGTCATCGTCACCCAATGAACTTTTGTAGGTCCCCCAGCTTTTACTCCTCCTTGTGCTGTCCCCACGATAGGATCTGTATTGTCCTGCCCTGCTCCCAGGTGGGTCTATCCCATTCCACTCTCGGTGGCTGTCTTATAAGACCCCTGTTATCTTTCAGCTGCAACAAGCCAAAACAACCAAATAAGCAAACCACCAGACACAGAACGCCAGATACAGATATATATATTTGGTTGTTTCTTGTAAGCTTGGCCAAGTGTATTGTGTATGTATGCTTGTCCTGTGTCCTGTGCTCGCAAGGACGAAAACACCTGCCCCTGATGAAAGGAAACCAGAGAAGAGGCTAGAAAAGGAAAAAGTTGTGCTACCAGCAATACCCTGGATAACTTGACTTAAGAGAATATAGATCCTGTAATAGAATATCCTTCAAGTTAAACTTTTATTTAATCTAGAGCCCAATATACCCTTAATGTTTTAGTAACCCTGAGTTCGAACAAGATAAAGCAAACGTCTTGAAATGACTTCATCCCCGGGGACTTTTCGACAGCGCCAAAAAATTTGTTTACGCTTTTTGTTTGCCACTGTTTTTTAATGGAGGACCAAGACAAGGACGAAGGACGAAGGACCTGGGTGAAAGAATAATTATATATTCCTGGTCTGACGAGAGACGAAAAGCCCTCGCCATATCCATACCGATGGCTAAGCAAATAGAATATGGAAATATCATTTAAAATGCGCTTAATGGGCGATGGCACCCCAAAATGAGTTTCTTCTTTTTTTTTTGTTAGTTTGGATAGCTGGAAAAGCTAATATGGCAAATATTTGATGTCGGTTTCTGTTCTCCCTTTTTTTTGCAGGTGAAAAGCGCGAGCAAGAAGCCCAAAGAAGGTGCAGCCAGAATTAACACAAAGGTAAATTTGCCCTCGAAACTTTTGGGTTGGGTGGTTGGGTGGCTCAGTGGCTCAGTGGTGTGGCCACACTAAGCACACTGAGCACTCAAGGCCCCCACAAAACTGTCATGCACTTCAGCGATGATCCAGCTAAGCCACTTATTTTAGTTTTAGGCCAAGTTGGGCCACAAAAAAAAAAAAAATAAAAGAGGTAAATGCAAGTCGAAAATGCAATACCCTTTGAAAGCCTAGAATTTCAAATAATAAACCTGAATTTTGTATAAATTTATATAGATAATATATTAGTTTAAATATCAAATCATTATTTAATGATGGAATATAAGTAGCAAAAGTACTTCAAGTACTTTGCAAGAGTACATTTCTTTTAGATATATATATTTTATATATTCGAAAAGGCTCTCTCCACTCAGGTTTCTCAGGTTCATCCTCCGGCACCCGTATCCTTTATTCCTGCACACTATCTCTAGTCAGTCAGTAGTCAGAGATTCAGACGCTTAACGAGCTACACTTCGCGATGGTGGAAAAAAAAGAAAAACTACTTTTCCGCTTGCCCTTTCGTCCTTTTCCTCACGTTCCCTTCCCGGCAGTTTCCCCGCTTATACCTTCTGTGTATGCTAAGTGAAATTTAATGCTGTGGAAAATTGTAAGATTTCAGGACTAATATTTATTTTAATATTTTTATGCTGAGCACAGAGCTGGGAAAAGAAACTTCTCTGGTTGCCATGTCCTTGGGGCCTGAGCAATAATTTAATTTGCAATTTTCCATTTGCTGACCTGAAATTAACACACAGACAGAGACACACTCATGTGGCGCCCAAATATGAAATTAGTTTTTCGGTTAGTTTCCATTGTTGTTCGAGGACTCGAAATCCAAAATTGCGAAATGATATTACCACAATATTACAGCTAGTTTTTCATTATTGCCCAAGTGGCTGGGGGCACGTGTGAAAGACATAAAATACACAAACATAAATGCTCAAATGATCGCTATGTGCAAAAGCGCCCTGCAAATTTAAACAAACAGCCAAACGTTTTCCCTCCATTTCCAGGCTTTTCCAAATTGGGTTTCCTTCTCTCTCTCCAAGCCATTCGCTTATGAAATTCTGGCCAGCAAATGGAGAGATGGCTAATGGCCCGTGGAAACGTGCCTGACTGCGTTGATTTGATGGGAACGAGAGGCTGGGCTGGGCTTCGGTTATATAGATTTTCTAACCAAGCCAAACAGTTTCTATCTCATTTTTGGTCCTTAGTTCTAGCCAAAATGTTGCATACTTTCTTGCAAATCACCTTCCTTCAACAAGTCGGTAAAAAAAAAACGGCTAAAAATCCAATTTGCACACTAAGAAAAATTCCATTAAGCCTGGCACTCTCATCGGATTCATTAGGGGCACAATAGCCAGTGCCCCATGCCACGTCCATATTGCTCTGTGGCGCAAATTGCAAGGTGCATGATGCATTTTATGTACATATGCATTACGTATACGACGTGTAGTCGCGATGCAATCACGCCGAAAATTCGTTTCCATATATTACACAAACACACAGAGACACGCGATGTAGGCATACACTCAAAGAAATATAGTATATACTTGAATAGATTCTTGAAGATTATTTAAAGGGGTTCAAGTTGCATTTATATGCAAGTGTAGCTTTGCGAACAGCAGCAGAAGAGGCCTTAAATAAGTTAATTTAAACTGGAAAATACCATAAAGGTTTTGGGAGAGTGTTCTATTTAGAATAAATAATGTCCGGAATTCGAAGGACTGAAGGATGATTTTTTTAGGATTAGTAATCTGAAAGGATGTTATGTCTAAGATAAGAAATCGAAAAGGATACTGTGTCTAGGATTAGAAATCTGAAAGGATGTTCTGTCTAAGATTATAAATCGAAAAGGATACTTTATCAAGAATTAGAAATCTAAAAGGATTCTCTGTCTAGGATTAGAAATCTAAATGGATGCTCTGTCTAAAATATTTCTATTATTTCAAAGCTAACAGCAATAGCAAAGGCTAATGATTTTGTTACAAAGTGAAGTTTGAAGCAAGTAATCTTTTGTAGTCTTTTCTTCAAACTGAATTTTTAATCCTATACCTAAAAGTTATAGCTCGAAAAGAGCTTTACAAAATCTAAAATAATAATTTTAGTAAAAAATTAAGGATATTAGTTATAAAGTCCTGTTAAAATAAATACCAAGTAAAGATTTCAAAGCAGCAACTGACTATAAAGTTATAATAAACCCACTTAGCTTTTAATCTCCCCATTTAAATCACAGATAACAAAACTCAGAAATAAGTACATCATATTTCTCCCAGTGCAGGCCTTAGTGCACAGACACACCCCCATATATATATACAAAGGCTGTGGGAGTGGGCATTGCACCAAAAGGAGGAGGGTTAAAATGCTTTTGATTGTTTGGCCCTGGCAGTTATTTATATTTGTATTGACTGCATTTTTGGTTTATGTTACAGGCAACTCAATGTGTGTGTTAGTGTGTGAGTGTGTGTGAGTGTGTGTGAGTGTGTGTGTGAGTGTTGATGTTGGTTAACAGGCAGGACCTTGGAAAGGAGGTGTTCTTTTGGGGTGGGGGAGGGTTGTTGCCAAAACCCACTACCACTCAATTTCGTTGGCCATAAAAGTGTCTCCATCCTCACTCCAGGAAATCCCGCCTTCGCTGCTCCCGTTTCTTCCTGTCCATCCTTTTGGGTAGTTTGCTTTTTTCTTTCTCTCAGTGTAAAATGCTGGAAATGCCAATTTTTGTTGCTATTTGTGTTGTGAGAGTGTGTGTGTGTGTGCCTGCATTTGCCTGCTGCTCGTTTTGGTTGAGTTTATAACATTTTGCTCTGCTGTTGTTATTCGGTTTTTGGGCAAATTGGTTTACAGGCCGTCAGAGGCTATAACAAAAGGCCTGTGAAAAAAACGGGGGTTAGAGTTGGTGAGTTGGTGTTGTCCAGGGTCCTTGTGTGGGGTCCATCCTTGTTCGCCACTACCCACTGCCTGGTGTAGAGCCTTTTGGTGTCGCTTCTTCTTGGTGGGTCAACTTGGGGGTAGAGTCCTTTGGTGTCGCTTCTTCTTGGTGGGTCAACTTGCGCCAGGGTATCAACATTTTACATCCTTGAAGGATTCTGCAGTATCTGAGCGTTCTGGTTCTGTGGCAATATCGGGAATAAAGGCCTGTGCAAAAAAAAAAGGGGGTTAGAGTTGGTGAGTTGGTGTTGTCCAGGGTCCTTGTGTTGGGTCCATCCTTGTTCGCCACTACCCACTGCCTGGTGGAGCGGCAAACTTGGGTGTAGAGTCTTTTGGTGTCGCTTCTTCATTTACACTCTCCATCCTTTAAGGTTCCTGCATTATCTGATTGTTCTGGTTCTGTAGCAATGTCGGGAATATATGGCAAAGGGATCGCCTTCTGTTCTTTTGTAGCAATATCGGGAATATATGGCAAAGGGATTGCCTCCTGTTTTTTTGTAGCAATATCGGGAATATATGGCAAAGGGATCGCCTTCTGTTTTTTTGTAGCAATATCAGGAATATATGGCAAAGGTATTGCCTCCTGCTTTTTTGTAGCAATATCAGGAATATATGGCAAAGGTATTGCCTTCTGTTTTTTTGTAGCAATATCGGGAATATATGGCAAAGGGATTGCCTTCTGTTTTTTTGTAGCAATATCGGGAATATATGGCAAAGGGATTGCCTCCTGTTTTTTTGTAGCAATGTCGGGAATATATGGCACAGGGATTGCCTCCTGTTTTTTTTGTAGCAATATCGGGAATATATGGCAAAGGGATTGCCTTCTGTTTCTTTGTAGCAATATCGGGAATATATGGCAAAGGGATCGCCTTCTGTTTTTTGTAGCAATATCGGGAATATATGGCAAAGGGATTGCCTCCTGTTTTTTTGTAGCAATATCGGGAATATATGGCAAAGGGATCGCCTTCTGTTCTCTTATTTTTGATTGGGACTTCTCTTCTTCATCAGTCTTGGTCTTCTCCGTGATCTTAAGTTGTGCAGGTACCTCCGCCTTCTTTTTATAGGTTTCATCCACTTCGAAAGTAACGATTTTAACTATCTTTTTTTGAACTAAGACTTTCCGTTTGTGACTTCCCACCGGATTTGGATTGGCAGACTGGATAGATCTTTGCTGAGATACCATCTTTTCATCACGCTTCTGGGGAACAAATTGATTCTTCCTTAAGGGGGCGTGAGCCTGTGTTTGTGGTTTTGAAATAGTTTTTGGGATAGATTTGAGCGACTCCTTCTGTTTTGGCTGCAACTTTTCCATTTTTGGTTGGGACTTCTCATCCTTACGGGTCTGGGACAGTTTCTTCTCATTTACCTTTGGTTCGGCGCTGATGACATTTTTAGAGGTGCTTGGTTTTGGTTCTTCATCATTTTCATTCTCCACATTACATTTGACCTTTTTGGGATTTGGATTGACCCGCTGGACAGATTTTTGCTGAGATACCATCTCTTCATCATGCTTCTGGGGAACAAACTGCTTCATTTTTGAGGCTACGAAAGCTTGTATTTGTGGTTTTGTAACAGTTTTATGGATAGATGTGAGCGAATCCTTCTGTTTTGGCTGCAACTTTTCCATTTTTGGTTGGGACTTCTCATCCTTATGGGTTTCGGACTTCTTCTCATTTACCTTTGGTTCGGCGCTGATGACATTTTTAGAGGAAATATATGGCAAAGGCATCGCTTTTTGTTTTTCTGTAGCAAGATCGGGAATATATGGCAAAGGGATCGCTTTCTGTTTTTCTGTAGCAATATCGGGAATATATGGCAAAGGGATCGCTTTCTGTTTTTCTGTAGCAATATCGGGAATATATGGCAAAGGGATCGCTTTCTGTTTTTCTGTAGCAATATCGGAATATATGGCAAAGGGATCGCTTTCTGTTCTTTTGTAGCAATATCGGGAATATATGGCAAAGGGATAGCCTTCTGTTTTTCTGTAGCAATATCGGAAATATATGTCAAAGGGATCGCCTTCTGTTTTGGTTCTTCATTATTTCATTCTCTACATTACATTTGACCTTTTTGGGATTTGGATTGACATACTGGACAGATTTTTGCTGAGATACCATCTCGTCATCATGCTTCTGGGGAACAAACTGCTTCATTTTTGAGGCTACGAAAGCTTGTATTTGTGGTTTTGTAACAGTTTTATGGATAGATGTGAGCGAATCCTTCTGTTTTGGCTGCAACTCTTCCATTTTTGGTTGGGACTTCTCATCCTTACGGGTTTCGGACTTCTTCTTATTTACCTTTGGTTCTGCGCTGATGACATTTTTAGAGGTGCTTGGTTTTGGTTCTTCATCATTCTCTACATTACGTTTGACCTTTTTGGTAATGGCCTCGGAGGACATTGACTTCTTCCGTTTTAGAAGCTTTTCTGGCCCTTCCTTGGCAGCAGTACTCTTTTGCTTGATCTTGACCTCTTCCTGCGGGGAATCGCAGGTTTTCTTCGCCGACTTTTTCTTTGACATTTCGTCCGTTTTAGATTTGCGTTTTAATGCCATTTTAGAAGTGGATGGCATTGGGTTTTCCTGCTCATCCTGCGGCTGTTCTACTTCAGGATGTTTAATGGTATTCTTTTTCTTCTTAGGTTTCTCCTTTTGTCCTTCCTGGGCATCAAGATTCTCGCCTTGGTTTTTAGTTGCTAAATCTTGTTCTGTAACAATTTCCTTCACCAATGCATTTTTGGTCATGAAATGCTCCCATTCTTTACTACATATAATATTGGGATGCGATTTTAGACAGTCCCAAAGTTGCTTGCGTTTCGATTCGGGAAGATTTTCAAGTTCTTTGATACTGTCAAAGACCTCGTGCAGCATATTCTCAAATTCTGCACACTGCTTTTCTAAAGATTTAATGCGAGTGTACATTTCAATCTTTTCCATCTCACGCATACCCAGGGGAAATTTCCCGCCCTTATAGGTCTCAAATATGTTCATAAGTTTGCCCAAACTTCTGTACCGGCTTCTGGTCAAGTTATTGGTATTAATCAGAGTCTTAAGCTCATTAATTATAAAATCCGGATCAATGGGCAACACAGGGATCAGGACGTCCACAATACCCGCCTTTGGATCACGAGAAATGGTCGGCGGAGTCATCGGATAGTTGAAACTCTTCCAGGCATTATACTTTACGCTATATTCCCGTCCCAATTCGCTCTGATATAGCAAGTAATGAAGCACTTTTGAGCGACTCTGGGCCATCAGTTGGAGATCGCTCTGCTTCACCAGATAGCTAATGAAGGGACGCAAAAAGATATTCACCTGTTCGGCAGTAATTTCGCCATCGGCCACCTTGCCCAGTTCAATGAAAAATATATTCAAATAGTGCAAAGAGAGGCCACGACTCTTGATCTGTTTAGAAAACACAGACTTTTGAATGCCCTTGTTAAAGGTCTTAATCAACTTCACTGACCAATTATTCTGCTTGAGCAGCAGCAGGATGTGATGTAACATTTGACGGACGAGGATAAGGAACTTATCCATGAGCCACTGTTCAGGACCAAATATATCCTCAGCCATAGTGCTCATGAATGCACTAAAAAAGGCCAGGCTGTAGGACGTTTTACCGCCAAAGTTGTCCACCATTTTGGCCAGACGCTGGGCCAGTTCTTGCTGGCCAATTGGATTTTCACACATCGAAACGGTTGTACACAAAGCCCTCCAAATAGGAACAAAGTCCTCTTTGGCGAAGCTGGTCCTCATCTTGAACCACTTGGCCAACTTGCAAACCTGCAAATTGCGCTTACTCTCATCCGTACTGGACAGATGTCGAATGATCTTCGCCTCCAGTTTGTCGAGCTTCGGCTCCTTGGACTCTTCTGTTACAATTGCCTTGGGTTCTTCGGGTTCTTCCTTTTCGGTTGCCTTGGCACGGCGCTTGGATGATTTCTTTTTCTCCGACATGTTTTCGATTTATTCAGCTCTCAACTCGGTGAACTTGTGAAAAGATTTGCGAACAAATTTTGCAACCTCACGTGTTCGAAATTAGCGTGACCAGACCTTGGTCGTAAAAGCATATTGCTTGTCACTAAAAAATATACTAAATTGTGTCCGATACATAATAGTTTTACCAGCAGGTATTCACTTTCACAAAATTCTTTCAGATGGCGCAACGAAAGAGTTGTGAAAATGAAAAGGAGAATCCTTCATCAATTCAATTCTTATTTGTAAGGGGAAAAATGCATTACTTATGGGTTTATTCATGTTTCTTCCACACCGTTGTTAAATTAAGTTATCACGTGTTTATTTATTAAAAAATTCGTTTATGACCCGGCTAAAAATACCCAATAATTGAATATATGAGCATTAATATTTTAAAGGGAGTGTACAATTCTATTTTTAATAAATATATCTCTATATAGATATATTCTGGAATAATAATAACAATTTTAAATGATGAAATCGCAGTGGAAAAATAATTGAAACCTCGAAATATAACCTACCTTTTAGTTAATAAATGTTAATTAGCAATTTTAGCTTTTACTTTAATTTTAAACAAATAATTGACTACATAAAAGCAATTTAAAAACCATTCTAACGATTAAAAACAAGCAAGAAATCATGTCGACTAGTAAAATATATATTGTAAACATTCCGATAACAAAACTGTTGCAAATATTTTGTAAAAACCGGAGAACCAAAATACGAAATCGTACAATTTCACCCAAAACAAACCCTTTTTATGTTCATTATGTTCTCATTTTCTTTTCTAATGTTCATAAGCAAGAAAAAAGGTAAACAAAATAACATACTAAATTCCCGAAAATGTGAGCTTTTATCGATAACTGCATTTATGCATTTCTTTGCATTTTCGCATTAATGTTCCTATTTCATTGTTTTTAAATTGAAAGAATTATCAACCAAGGTGGAAATTGTAGGAACCGGCACAATCGGAAAATTAACTTTTATAAATTTATAAATGCATTTAATGTATTTTTATATATTATCAATTCGGATTGTACCAAGGATACTTAACTTACTTAATTTAAGTGAAATGTTAAGTTCTTATCTTTATAAACTCAATCGTTTATAAATGTCTTGGAGCTTTTTGGAGGCATAATGCAGGTATGTGCATACATACAAATGTATGTATGTATACGTATACATAGTGAAAATCTAATGCTTTTTTTTGCAAATTTTTCACAGTTTATACTTGTAATATTTTTCTTAAAGACTCATCATTTTATTAAATAATAAGTAAGTATTACTGCCAGTTGCTTTAATGTTGGAGTTCCAACGAGAAATGTAAAAATTCTTGAAATTCCACAAAAAAAACTTTGACATCAGAGGAAAAGGGATAAACAAACAAAACACACAATGTCAAGGAACAATGGCAGATGGGTAAATGTGGGGAAAATTGGAGGGAAAATAGGAAGAACCGCGGCAAATTGGAAAAAAGTCAAAATCGAAAGATATATTTGTACATACATACATACATACATATGAATGTCAATGGGAAAGTGGCTCTGTGGCTGTGCGGCTGTGTGTGTGGGTGTGTGTGGGAATGCTTCCAAATGACAAACATTTCAATTAAATTCCAATTTGAATAAATTCCTAGCAACCAAAACAAACTCCGTCGTCTTCCGCAAAAAAAGTCCAAATGAAATAAAATGAGGGAAAAGCGAACGGAATGTAACAAGCAGAAAATTACATCAGCGACTGTCCGAAAGTCGAAGGAAAATGCCAGAAACAGAAACGCCAGGGAAGGACATCACAGGACTCTTCCTCCGGGGGAGGGGGCTAACAGTCGGGGGCTATATATATAGGAACATGTAGCTGAGGGAAAACGCACCAGCATCAGAAACTAATTAAGAGAATTGCAATTGACAATGAGACGAGACAGGAGCCAGAGTCCTGTCGCATAATGAGCTCCGGATTCGGGGTTTCGGGGTTCCGGGTTCCGAGTTACGGGTTTCGAGATTCGGAGGAGCTGCAACCAAGACTTAGAGGAAAATGGGGATATAAAAGGAAATCGAAAATTGTTAATTTTCCATTAATCGAGAAGGTGGATTGAAGTGAGGAATTGGTTAACTCTTTAAACCGATCAGCAAACACACCAGGCAAAGCCATCTAGATTAATTTAGGGAATATTACTTCCTTTAGATTAGATGTAGGGAAAACTACAACTTTAATATATAGACCTACTCTTTGATCAAAGGACTTTGTCATATTATAATTCCCCTCAAAATAGACTCCTAGGAAAGTGAGTGTATATATTCAAAAAGATGTCTGTCTGCTCGATCCTTTCACTAAGCTGATGTGCCTCACATTGTCGCCTGGCATAAATACCATAAAAAAGCCACTGGAGCGGTGAAGTAAAGAGAGATAGATATACAGATGCGCGAGTTGGAAAGAGATGGCTAGGTAAATAGAGAAAGAGACAGGAGACCCTTCTATCGACCTCAATTCAGGGGGCTACGGCTCCGACTTCAAATGAAATTGTAATTTTATACAGTGGCAATCGCTGCCACAGCCACAGCCAAGTCGAGATGTTCAGGGAAAGACGAGCCGACGGGCGGGAAAACTTGCGGAAAAATGGGAAGGTATTGTAGGGGCTTTAGGGTAGGGTAGTATAGGGTAGTTGGGGGCGTGGCAACACCAACCGACCGACCTACGTGCTCCTCCCTCTCCATCTCTTTTGGTACGTGACAGGCGAAATCTTATATTTCCTATTTCTACCTTTAATTCTGGAGGTCTCTCTCACTCACTCTCTTTACACCGCCACCTTCTCTGATGACCACAATTTGTAGTCATTGAGTGTACCTGAAAAACCAGATTTCTCACACAAGGAGAAATGAGGAAAAATCCTTGGGCAAGCCAAGGTAGAGAAATTGAGAGCGAGGAGCGAAAACGAAAACGAAAACGAGCCACTTGTGTTGTTCACTTAAATAGTTGCAAGTTAATTAAGTTAAAATATGGCCAAGAACAAGAAGGGAGCTATAGATAGAGACAGGCAGACAGAGAGAGAGGGAGGGAGAGAGAGAGAGAGAGGGAGAAAGATATAGTGAGAAAGAGATATATAGAGAAAGAGCGTGCCTATTAAAGGAAAAGTGCACAACTTGAGCGACAAACTCAGTTACAGTTGATGCTCATGGCAACGGGGCGTATGTGTGCTATGCGGAGATGTCCTTCTTCGTTGACTAATAGCCAAGATGTATTTAAGCAGGACACATTTCATAGCTACAGGACTTGTTCTCCTTTTTTTAGTACATATACATGTGTGTGAGTGTGGCCTGCATTAGACAAATCATAAGGCGTAAACTAAAGATGATTGAAATGGAGAAGACTCAAAACTTGGAGAAGGAGCTGGACCTGACCTGGGAACCCATGAAGTTGAGGGGTAGCAAAGGCCAAACTTTTGACGCCAGAGACACAAGTGCCTGAGTTATCTCAGAAGCAATTATTTTATCAAGGACTCAAGGATGTAGCACAAAAAAGAAAAGAAAAGAAAAGAAAAGAAAGACAAGACCTCTCTTAGGAATAATCCATTGTACTTAGTCAGGTGTCTCTTTGGAGAATCGCGGTTCTTATTGAATATGATTAATTGATTGATTGGTCAGGATTCATGATTTGAGTGCATAATTAAGGCAAATACTTGAAGTTGAGTTTAGGTATTATTTACCACAAAAATTCTATATAAAGTTGAATTCAATACAACTTCTCTTTTATTATAAAAAAGAAACCTCTGAACAAAGTTCATTTGTATTTCTTGCTGCTTTATAATTAGAATTTCTAGTAATCAATCTTTAGCAAGTGTATTGAAAGGTGTAGCAAGGTAGAGTCCTGTTTTATATTGATTAAAAAGTAATATGGAGAAATATGCGGTGAGGTGAAACTTTAGGTGAAGGAAAAGGACGAACTTGATGGCGAACGTTGGCTTTCATTCCATAATTATTGAACTGAAACTTTCACCTGTAATGAGACACCTAATGCCGCCCTGTTTCGCTGTTTTCTAATTAGTTTTTAATACATTTTCCACACACATACACACATATAGAAGAGAACATCGCTCACATGCGATACAAGCCGCTTACAGGGGATCAAACCCACTCAATGACTAATTAGCATACATTCGAAACAAAAGGTATAGAATATTAGAGAAAAAATATATTTTTATGAGAATATATCATTAAAATAAATTCTTGTTGAATTTATTATATTTCCAAGCTTGTTTCTTATAAATTCCTATGCTTTTGACTTGATATATGAATTTAAGCTGAAAGTTTGTAAATGATTTTTTGCTGTGCATTTCTAGAGCTTCACTTGAGTCCTCTGTGCCCATAAATAATGGCAAATGTTATATATTTTATGTAGACTTTGCGAATTAATACTAATTTCTATTTGCTGCTGAACTGGCCACGAGCTTTGCTTTACTTTTGCTTTTCCCGCTCCTCCCAGAATTTCCATGGCATGTCGGAAAAGTTTTTCGCCTTTTGTTGGTGTTTTATTTCTGTCTCTGCCTTTTTTGAAACTGAACGAAAAAAAAAACAACAACGTTTGCCATTTCGACAGCCGTTTGATGGTTGCGTTGCCCCCAGTTTTGGATTCGGATTCGGATTCTGATTCTGATTCTGAATCAGAGTTCTGCTGCGGTTAGCACTTTTCCCCCTCTGCTCTCGTTTTAGTTGTTGTTTTGAGCCGCCATTGCGTGACAGCCATTTGTGTCACCCCTCACCCTGACCCCTGACCCCAAAGCACTCCACACTCCACACTCACCCCTCCCCCTCAATCCCTCCTCCTTCCACCCGAAAATTCTTGAGACTCTGAGTGCCTGAATGACAGACAGGAGGACAGACTGACTGACTGACAGCGAAATCATTGAAATGTCACTTGTGCTGTCACTTTTGCCGGGTGCCTGCCTTGCGGTGGTATCGTTTGGGTGCTGTCACACACTGAAAAATAAA